TCTCCCTCTCCCACTCCCCCTGCTTGTGTTCCCTCTCTCGCTGTGTCTCTCTCTATCAAATACATAAATAAAATCTTAAAAAAAATTTAAGAAAAAAAAAGAACTAGAGCTAGATCAGAAACAGGCTGACACCCAGGGGCCTTGACATTGTAGTGGTCTTTGATTATCTGGTTTTTGTTTGGAGCCATCTCAGACACATCGTCCCACTCGCTGAGGGCCAGCCTCCTCAGGTTGTGGAAGCAATTCCCTTCAGATGCAGCATGACATTGTGGGCTTGATTCCCAGCTCCAATTCCTATTACCTCTGAGACCTTGAACAAATGATCTCACCTCTCTGAGCTTCCCTTTTCTTATCTGGAAAAATGGGGTAACAACACCTAGATACGAGAGGGGTGGTGGGAGATAGAACAGGTGTTTAAGGGTCCAAACTTGCAGCAAGTAGTAAATAAGTCCTAGAGATCTAATGCACAGTATAGGGAATATAGAGAGCAATACTGTATTATAGTCATCAAACTTGTTGAGACTAGAATTTAATTGTTTCAACCACCAAAAAGAAATGATAATTATGTAACATGATAGAAATGCTAATTATCACCCAAACAGCAATCATATTACTATATATGAATGTATCATATTAACATACTTTAAACTTGCACGATGTTATATGCCAAATACATTTAAAAAAAATACTTAGAGGATATCTTTTGATATCAGGGTTCTCATAAGACTAAATGAAAAATTAGGCTATATTCAATATTCAATAAATGGACACTATTATTAATTATAACTCTAAGGGCGCCTGGGTGGCTCAATCAATCAGTTAAGCGTCTGCCTTCGGCTCAGGTTATGATCCCGGGGTCCTGGGATCCAGTCCCACATCGGGCTCCTTGCTCAGCAGAGAGTCTGCTTCTCCCTCTGTCCTTCACCCTGCGCATGCTCTCTCTTGCTCTCTCGCTCAAATAAATAAATAAAATCTTAAAAAGTAATAATAGTAACAACTCCATACAGGGGCACCTTACTAGCTCAGTCAGTAAACTATGAGATTCTTGATCTCAGGGTCGTGAGTTTAAGCCCCACACTGGGGGTAGGGTTCACTTAAAAATAATAATAATAACTCTATTGATGAAAGGGGTAGTGGAAACCTAATGAAGCATGTCATGGAACTCAGCTTAACTTTGCTAAAAATGTTTTACGTATAGGCTTTCCATTTTGGCAAGCTCCTAAGGTAGACCTTTAGCACTGAAAGGATTGCTTCTTGAAATACAATTTTAAAAATACAGCCAAATGTTTGGAGAAGAGAATATATGCTTATAAACTTGAGGCACAAACTATTGTTTTCTCTAAAATTAAATTGATGCTACTTGGCTAGTGAGCACAAGTGACCTATCGCAAATGCATTATCAGAATAACTGACCAGTTTAAACAACCAGACTTGTAACAATCCTCGAAGAACTTCCCATTCTCCGGGAAAAGGAAGGTATGGGAAATGTTTTTTGTTTCATTCAGATCTAAGCAAATGTAATATGTTTGCTTTGCCTTTATTTACAGCTGTATTGCTACCCCATTTAGAAAATTTAATGTTTCTGTCAAATTATTACACATATGTTCCTTCTTGGGAAAAAAATTACAATTATTTTTGTGCCTGCAATCTGCATCTAAACTGTGATTGTTGGTCATTTCTTAAATTAGTCAATGGAATTTCAAGGCATTAATAAGTCACTAAATCATAGGTCACTAAATAGCTCTGGAAGCAAGAGAAGTTTTGCTGCCAGGAATAAAAAATAAATGTAAGGTGTAATGTCCACCCCTCCATGTACATACCAGTGTTTGCAATATGGAGTACTCCAGACATTATTTGTGGCATCATCTGGGAAGGGAAACTCTTTGCCAAGTCATCACCCTTATTGATTTTCCAATTCTTGTTGGCATAGGGTTTTTTAATATTGCCTTCCAATATACAAGTAACTGCAGAACAGCCACTCCATCGAACCCTGGATACTTCATTCCTTCCGAGACGTAAAAGTCTATCCATTCTCCAAAATGCTTTTGCAAACGCTTTGTGTATGTTCTCATACTCACATTTCACCGTTTTTCTCTTTTTCTTTATGGAGGAAAAAAGTTCTTCTATAGCTATGTATTCCTCCCTAAATACTGTGTGAAAGGATTTGATTACGTTTTGCTCTTCAGGAGTCATTTGGTAGGAAGGATCAAATCTGGAAAGTTGATGGAGAAGTAAAACTGGGAGTTCCATTGATGTCAAGTCTGCCGCTGAGGCACCATGATGTCCATCGAACAAACCCAAAAAACACACGTCAGGTTTATTGCCAAAGTTATTCACCACAGTGAATTTATCATTCATGTCAGCTTTCCATGCAGAATTTCTGTCTTCACAAACGGCTACACCCTTAATCAATACATGACAGATTTTTTGAGAATATATGGAACTTCTGTGAATGTTATCAATAATCTTATAGTATGCTGGGATTTGTTTCTGCCAAAGTAGTTCAAAAGCATTATTAATGCTCTGTAGGATTTTTTCAGTGAATATAGAAAATGACAATAGTTTAGTGATTATAAACTGTCTCTGGATGGAAATCAGTGGGAGCGCGGGTTTCTTTCCACCCATCCATTGAAACCCTAGGGTGGCCAGGGCCACGTGCAGCTTTTTATGGAGGAAAATTTCAGGTAGATCAATTTCATGCTTGCATATGGAACAGGGAAATGTGATCATTTGATCATGCTGCTCTTCATGGTCTTCAGAGCCTCTTGATGGTCTGTTCTTTTTCATCCTTCTAAAATACCTTCTTCTCAATGAAAGTGGGATTTCTTTCACTGAATCAAATGTTGATTTTCTCACATTCCATTCCCTTGATTTCCAAGACACTCTGCAAACAGGACAAAATATAATGACATGACAGGAATGACACACTGAAAGTCTTTTTTTTTCTTTAACATTTATTTATTATTTATTCATAAAAAGTGAGAGAGTGAGCACCTGGCGGGGGCATAGGGAGAGAATCTTCAAGCAGACTCCCACTGAGCACAGAGCCCAATTCTGGGCTTGATCTCTCAACCCATAAGATCATGACCTGACCCCTGAGCTGAAGTGGAGAGTCAGGCACTTAACCCACTGAGCCACCCATGTGCCCCAACACAATGAAAGTCCTTTCAAGCAGACCCTTGTCTTTGCAATTTGCTTTAGTTCCTCACGATTCTATGTGAGCCTACCATTGAATATCCTGATGCATCTTTCTATCATTCCCCCAAAAAAACACACAGTAGAAGTACTCAAAAAATTGGTGACTGAACTGTGGATGCCTGAATAAAATTAGGCAAAGTCTCTACAAAGTCAACTAGAAATCTAAGAGCAAATACTCAGAAATCAGCACAAGATTATATTCCAGGCATGTGAAGGTACATGCTTGAGACCTAGGTATTTGATTTAAAATTTGAGGGCGCCTGGGTGGCTCAGTTGGTTAAGCGATTGCCTTTGGCTCAGGTCGTGATCCTGGAGTCCCGGGATCGAGTCCCACATCAGGCTCCCTGCTCGGCAGGGAGTCTGCTTCTCCCTCTGACCCTCTTCCCTCTCGTGCTCTCTATCTCTCATTCTCTCTCTCT